AGGACCATGGAATATTGCTCCTGCAGTACAAGCCTAACACAGAACAGTACAGTGTAATACAGCAAGGAGCAAACCAAACCAGAAAGGATTTGTGGTGTTCATGTCTTTAAGATGTCCCACTGGCATTGTGTGTGATATGACAGGCAATATTCGTGTCCTGTGCCGCGTGAAGCCTGTTCTGGTGGAAGACCAGCAGGAGGAAGGACAAACGACTGTGGTGACAACCGACCCCAATAATGAATCAGCTGTCATTGTCCGAAGCAAAGGCCGGGAACGTACATTCGAGCTGGACAAGGTTTTTCAGCCTCAGGCTACACAGGATGAGGTACTGGCCCGCTGAGCACTACTGTACCTGCAGTCACTGCTGTTCCTTCCAGGATCCACAGAGAAGCTCCAGTATGGAATTAAACAAAGTCCACCATCTGGATAGACAGCAGCCTCCAGTTTCATTCATACCTTAGAAGATCTCAAATTTAAAGCTGATTTAGCATGAAAATCCAGATGAATTGTAATGAAGTCTATAAATGAAGCATGTCAAAAACAGTTAGAAATTAATTTATTTTAACCCAGCAACCAGTATTTCTTGAACTCTCCCTTGGCTTTGATAAGGAAAGGAGGGCCTTAAACTTCCCATGAGCGATGTTTGACCAAACAACCATACAGAACGTATTCAGGCCCTCCCGATCACTTGACCTGAGCGTGTGATCTGCTTTATTCAGCTTCTACATGTTTTGATAAAGTCTGTGATGAATAACTAAGAACATTGCACTGTGCTTTCTTAACCATTTGGACACTGAACTTGACCATGTTTGATATTCATGACAGAAGACTCCAGTTTTGGTTCAAATACTGTACCTTCAAATCCATAGGTTCCTCTATTTTAACTGGGGCACCAAATTCAGAGAATGCAAAACAACCTTCAAGCAAAGTAAATCAATTTCAGCCATGATCTTCAATCGTGTTAATTACACTTGTGTTAAAATGTCCAAAAATTCAATACATGTTTATTCTAACCACATAAGAGGATCTTGTTTAAGTCAATTAGAAGCTATTTAACAAACTCATCTTTCATTTTTATGTTGACATTGAACACTGCCAGAGACCCAAATTCATGAGTTTAACATCGTATCCTAATAATGTGAGAGGTTTATGAAATTTCCCAGTTTGTTGTCTTTGGGTGTGAATTACCTACCCAGGCCTCTTTTCTTAATTTTATTTTAAAAATGAAATAAGTGTGTTATCTTTGGAAAGATTGTATTGGAGCAGGGATTCGATGGAATTTGTGATGTTGCTCTTTTATAGGTGTTTCAGGAGATTGAGCCTCTGGTAACTTCCTGCATCGATGGCTACAATGTTTGCATTTTTGCCTATGGGCAGACTGGCTCTGGGAAAACCTACACAATGGAGGTATTATCCTTGGCTACATTCTGAGCTATGATTCTCTGAAGAATTAGTGAAATTGCCAGCTTATACTGGCTTCCCTGCTGTTGTTTGGGTGATCTGCATTTACCTGCATTCACATAAATCACATTGGACCTCTGGTGCGGATTTGGGATGGGGGGGAGGACTCTGCTTAACACTGCAGAGTGCAAATGATAAATGCGACCTGTGAAGCAGATTTTGTTTTCTCACTACCTGCAAAAC